TACTGAGTACAACAGACACAATAATTTCCAATCATTTTTCAACTCAATCATTCTGCTTTTTCGGTATGTTTGCTGTAACGAAGAGTTCCCCTGGTTAGGCAGTGAGTATAACAGATGTATGCTAAAGGCTTGCAAACGATGCATTACCGAAATTTGTTTTCTCTAGCAAAAAAAAAGTGCTTCCTTTTATTTTCTGTGCTTATTAGCTGTTTTTTTAATGTTCAATATCCAACTTCTCGAAATTCATTTGATCAGTGCTGGGCAAAATTCAGCATCTTTTAAAGTCTCAAATACTGAAGTCATAGTGATCCTGAATTCTCTTGTTTTGTTGAAAAATTGATCAGAAACTGGAATTTTGTATTTTTCTTTTCGCCATCTGACGGTGATATTATATCAAAATTATGACTGTACAAGTGAGTATATATGCCTATTTGTGCAAGCATTTCATGCGCCGTACTTGTAACCAAATATACACACAACCATGAAATGAAAATACTCAAAATTTGAGAGCAAAATTCCTAACACCGTATAAAATGGTAAGCCTAAGAATAAAAATATGTTTTAAGCTGCTTGTTTTAGAGGTCCTTGATCTTGAGACCTTGAACTAGGGCGGATTTATAATGATATAAGAGAATTTTAAAATTTCAAAGAAAAACAGTGCAGGAAAAATGTACCAAAGAATTACAAGCTCGAGAATTTCGAAATTCTGGATCGGTGAAAGGTGCCACAGATATGCACTCTATGCATATCTGTTTCTTAATCAGCGGCTGTTCGTCCGATTTTAGGTTACTGTCATGATTTTTTAATGGACCCTAGCTCGGACAGAGTTCCTCTTCTTTCGATTTTTTTCACGTAATTTTTCTAATAAACCAAAAATCTTCAGATTTCATTTAAACAACAGTAGATGATTGGTCAAAAACCAAATTTTGAAATTTTCTGTTTTCCAACATACAACATTTCAATTACAGCCGTTTATAAGTTCAGTAAGCGATCAGTAGAATTTTGGTGCTTTTCAAGCAGTGAAGGGGCAAAAAATTCATTGTGACAAGACAATATTAAGTTTCTGTTGTATAAATCCACAGTGAACCAGCGACCTATCATGGAAAGCGTATAATCTCAATGTGTCTGGTGTATACCGGCATTTATTATGCAACAAAGTGCTCACTACTGTTTGCTACGCTTGTTAAATTGCAAAAAGTTCATTTCAGGTGCTCCACAGGCGAAGCCTGGCAAGACATCATGATGGCATGTACTGCCTCAAAATATTGCGCAAAACCGAATTCATTTGAAATAAACGTAGCAAAGGGACCGACATGCGGCACACAAATGTCCTATGTTTATTTCACAACTTTCGTCTTTTTGTCGTCCTTCTTGGTTCGTGCTTTTCAGTTACATTTCCCTGCTCATCTCTTATCCCGACTTTGATCCTGACTGATACTACTTGTAGCATTGATTTTTGTTCCGTAGGCTCCATTCTTGTTCTACAGGCTCCAAGGGTACAAGCAGCATCGGGCAAAGGTTTGAAAAAGTTTACATCTGACAAATTTCAAGTTTTGCACCATTAACGGCAGTGCCGTTTTTTATGCGCTTTGGCATATTATGCAAATGCAAAAACGCATATTGGCAAGAGG